TGTGGGGCAGTACTGATCTCAAACTGCCAAACATGGTCGCCCATCCAAGGACTCTCCGGGACCAGCTTCAACTGATCTGTGACTTGGACTCTTTGTACAGAACCACAATAGAGCATCACTAGTATGGAGACGTCAGCTAACTACATAATGGGAAAAACCATTGGTATTCGCTGAATCTAAATAGCAATGATAAGTACGGTAAGGAGACAAACACTTGGTGTTTTCAATGTACAGATATGTTACCTTTAGAACTGGTTACCTCCTGACTGAACTCATATATTTGCACCGAATAGGCTTACCATCTGCTGAAGGCGACCTATTTCCATAAGCAAACATAACTGGACACCGCTGAAAGAATATGAAGCCATCATAAACCGTACCATCCTCATTATGACGTCACAATTTAATAATGTATCGTTGCACGTATCATTGTTTTAAGCTGCCCTCCAAAAGGGTTTAGACAGAGTTATTTCATCATAAAATATTCCGGGAAAATGAGGAATAGTTGTTTCAGGGATGATTTGAACCCTCTAATTAAAGAAAAGGGCTGTGGTAGAATGAAGCAACGTAAAAATAACTCACTGAAAGGGGCGTAACAGATATAAATATATATAAAATGTTATATTTGTTTCTTTTCTTTTCTGAATAAATGTTAACGGACCAGTTAAAAACATCACAAGTAGATTTGCCAGGTCCGAATCGACGGAGACAGACATTGAGATATGCTGTTAGTTATCAGTTCCATGCTGCTCAACAAATATATCACATAACACATGGTATGATGTCCTAGAATGGGAGCATTTCACGCTGACATCATTTAAGCGTTAGTAATGAGAAGATTTTGTTCACATATTTTTCAGAAAAAGAGTAAATGTTCCCACTTATTCCTTTCTCGAGGTCAGGCCGTTTGTTTTTGGCTGGTTTTGCCAATACCAAGTCACGAAATGTAACAAGTCTCTTCTAAACGGCATGTCCCTAATCCAGGTAATTTTGGGTATTTCATCTGATGGAAGCTTTCGATTTTTAAATGTGTAAACATATCTGACAATGTTGCGGCAAAGGTGAAAATATCTTTGAAAAGTAACGGGCAACGCGGGGATCTCCGTGAGGGAAAATTGCATGGACAGTGTCCAATGTCCAGTGTCATATCTTTAAAATGCCAGTTGATAACGAGCCAATACTGATGAAGAAAACATGTTTCACGAAGCAAGAGAGCACGTTAATATATATCCCACAGGTGTCGCCAGATATGATTACTCATTTAAAATGTCTGCAGATGACTTGATGCTATCAGTTGAAGGAATGTGCTCCTATGTATAGATGTCCTTCGGAATATAGATCAGCCCTGTCATACAGCCCCTTGTTGGTGTTGACTTAGAAACAGAAGATTTCTATTACGTCAAGCTGGGAGAATTTAGGAATTTGTCAGAGACTTGTTTGTAAGCCATTTCAGTAATGATTTTAATTATTTGCTCTAGCACAGAATGGCGTCAGTTCTTTCAAACAGCTTCGTCTAGGAGATCTGATTAAATGGAATGAGTTTAACAACCCCCGTTTCCTGGCAAACAGCGTCCTGTATTCAGAAGTGATTTTAAATCAGCGAAACAAAACAAGGATGATCGACTCCCACTCAGGTTTTTATATTTGTGAGGAATAGTTTACGTCCTGAAACACGAGTTTATAAACTCACTCCATACAACGAAACAACAACAACCAAAACACACATGTTCGTCATCCAAATACTCCTTTCGTGATACCACTTTCCGGAGATAGACCAATCATTGACCATCGCTGCAGTTTTGGAATTCAAAAACAGTTACCGACCTTCATTGTGTAAATGGCATGTCCAGTAGTTTCCTGCAGGACATTTCAGAACAAAACACATCTGGCATAACCTTTTATCAAGGAATGGCAGTAAGTCGGATGTTCAAAACATACATTTGTTATTTGAAACGTTCTGTTTCTCCGAGGCAAAATTCATTTTGAAGGAACTTTTACTTCAACACACGTGGCACACGTCACATCCCAAACACCGAATGGTAATATAAAATACAAATGTTGTTTTTAAAGCGGAAATTTGGATTGCCTTTATATTTTTCAGAGTTCAGGATCTAGTTTTATCTGTAGTACCGGTATAGGGCAGTTTCAGATAATCTTGCAAAGCTCGGCCTCTAACTGAAAGTGATCGATTTTGTCAAAAACTGAAAGGAACTTAAGGTGTCTCAACATGAAAGGATGTCGATCTTTTGTATATATTTGTAAACATATTTACACCATTCTTCAACAAAGAAACAATGCAGGTTCCAGGAAAGTATCTCTCACATATAAATATGTCCCTTTCTGGAAGACTGGCAAGGGGATGGGGGAGTGTTTAGAGAGGGTTCAACAACAACGCGTCTCACTATACTAAGATTACTACGTGTTGAGCTACAGCGATCAGTCAAGCCTAACTCTATGTGCTTTGTCGTGACTATGTCCTCGAACAAAACATTCTACTAGCTTCCTTGATTACTCAAAGTGAGAAGTGCCTCAGATCATATCTTTGTATGGAACATGTGTCTCAGGCATCTTATATTACTTAACGTGAAAATGTCAAAGTCGAGGTCTTTAAACAGAATCCTGCACAAGCTCATTCAATTACTCAACGTAAAAATTGTCGTAGATCATATCTTGGGACACAGCACAATCTTGTAGCAGACAATATCTTGTAACCAGAACACTGCACAGTAGTAGTAGTAGTAGTAGTAGTAGTAGTAGTAGTAGTAGTAGTAGTAGTAGTAGTCTGGATCTGGCTCTACATAAAAAGGTCATACATTTACCACCCGCTGCATGACGAATTCCTATTACACCTATCTGGCACATCGATTATTTCAGTGGTTCGTGCCAAATTGAATCTGTATCTACTACTACTTCTACTACCACCACCACCACCACTACTACTACTACTACTACTATTACTACTACTATTACTACTGCTACTACTTCTACTTCTACTACCACCACCACCATCACTACTACTACTACTACTACTACTACTACTACTACTACCACCACCACTACCACTACTGCTGCTGCTGCTGTTGCTGCTGCTAATAGTAGTCAACTTATAAAAATTGACTTTTCCTCGCTTCGTATAAGCTGAGAGCGCATGAAATAACTGCCGCTGATCCACCAATCAGTGTATATACTTATTGTATTCTTCCCAATACGATATGATTACGATACTAACATAATTGATTTGCTTCTGCACATTTGGGGTTTACTCTATATGTTCACGCTTGTGCGTGCTCATGATACATCTAATACTTTACTTGAAATGGTATACGAAATATTTACTACACAGTCAAAATTAGTATCTGTAAAATATAGTTCCCATCAAAAGTTTAGACTCTCTAGTGTAAATATAGCCACTAAACTACATATTGCAAATTATTCCATGCCGTTTAAAGGTACTGTTTACACATAAACTGATGTATTGTAAAACAAATTCTTACAGTTGAAAAGCTTATTGTCATGAGTTCAAGAAATGATAAAACTCAGTCAAATTTGGCGAATTCTTAACATAACTTTGCACCAAAACGCAGCTGTTCACATGCGTGATATTTGCACATGCTTTTCAGCAATTTGATGCATGATCCTCGGGCAATTCATCTGCATATGGTTTGCAGTTGGTTCCCCCAAGTTAATGGAGAAATCAATCTTTGATGTAACTATATACAATGTATATACATAACATATAGTGAGTATTTTCAGTGAGTCTAAACTTTTGATGGGAAGTATATATGCTTTGAAAAAAAGAAGGGAAATTCATATTGTGGAGATTTCGGAAGTGTACATATTTGCGTACATTAAGTAGAACTATCAATGCCACGTTCCGTGAAAAAACATGAACATGGCAAAGAATATCTTCGCTTATATTTGTAGGCATCAGGTCGAAAATATCATTGCCACGTGTTATAAAAATATGTGAGATCGCGAAGACTACCAATGCTAAAAAACAGAATCTCACAAAACCAAGGAAACACATTGGATTACAATATTCTCTTCCGTGATAAGAAATGGATGTTTCGAATACTCGAAAACACCACGTGTGTCAAATAACCTATTGTTTACCTGTTCTTATCCTTGGTTCCCGTTGTCTTGACATGTATCACCGATATAACACCTGTTACAGTAATCCCCCATAAACACAACATGACATGACCGGTATTGACGTAACGTCATGCATAAAACACGTGTTACCATTACATGCCCCTGTGTCATGGGTTATGCCATACTTGACAACATTTAAAGCCACGTGCGATAATCTAGACAGTACGAATTCCACGGTAGATGAAACATGTTTCATAATTTCGGCGAGGTTCAGTTTCATATTTTACAAATCGAAGGTCTGTTGCTGGATTAAGGGCGCGTGTTATGGTGGACATAAAACCGGCGTTGCAATTTAACGTCGTGGTGTTTATGCAACGTTACACTGTGGTGCACTCAAGGACGTGTGTGTTGGGGCTATTGTGCAGTGGGTTTATCCTTATTGATAGTCTCACTACAAAGAGTCGTCTTCAGCGTGATAAACGTACGTTTCCTTTGGCCTGGACTTCTAAAAATGTGATATCTGTAACGGTGTGCTCTGTTCGACACACGACGCCATGGTGCTCAACGTTAGATACGTGCTGAAGAGTCTGGACATGACTCTATTTGTGAACATGGTAAAACTTACCACTCTGTGTTAATGCGCCTGTCGGGAACATCGAAAATTTGTGTGGTTCATGCTTAATTGTATCTGTTCATTCTGTTTTGTACGTCATTCACGTCCATTATGCAAATATACTATTGAAAAATATAGATAATTGAGTTTTATTGGTGGATGGGTTCCCACCAGTTTAAGTTTATCAATGGAGCTATGCGCAAATGATATAGAATGTACCGACAGCCTGTTTAGTATCAATGTGTACAATTGTCAACCCGCAGTCTTCCATATACATTATTCTTCTCTGGTAACGATGTGTTTGCAAAACCGCTACAAGACTGCTTCCTCGCGGACAACTGTGTGGGAAATGTTAACAGAGATGGCAAACTTGTCACATACTCACAATTCCTTTATCCAGACATGTTTTAATTCAAGGTAATGCAACGGGAACGGATTTCGCTGTATTCCGAGACGTGAATGAGTCGGATTTACGTCGCTTTCAGTAATATTCCTGTCATATCAGATTGAGTGAGTTGTTTTTATGCCGCTTTAGCAATATTCCAGCAATATCACGGCGAAAGGCACCAGAAATGCGCTTCACACATTGTACCAATGTGGGTGAATCGAACCCGGGTCTTCGGCGTGAGCAGCGTATACTTTAACCAATATCAGAAGTGGGCTTCGCACATTGTACCCATGTGGGTGAATCGAACCCGGGTCTTCGGCGAATCGAACCCGGGTCTTCGGCGTGAGCAGCGTATACTTTAACCAATATCAGAAGTGGGCTTCGCACATTGTACCCATGTGGGTGAATCGAACCCGGGTCTTCGGCGTGAGCAGCGTATACTTTAACCAATATCAGAAGTGGGCTTCGCACATTGTAACCATGTGGGGAATCGAACTCGGATTGTCGATGAACGAGGACTTTAACCCCTAGGCTACCACCTCCACCCTATCTACACAACCGATCCCAGTTACAAAGGACCTATTCACTGTTAGTGAATTATTTGTGGCTTCTACCCCATGTATTCTTGTATTGTTTCATCTGGTACAAGTGTAAACATAGTAATGATCAGGTGGCATGAGAAGGAATCGGTGGATTGAAGGTTGCTTTGTCATAATTGTCGATTTTGTTTTAATTTGCACATGTTACTCAATATTTCTCTGTACTGTCACAAGGCGTTATGGGGCGGCGGGGTAGTCTAGTGGTTAAAGCGTTCGCTCGTCACGCCGAGACCCGGTTTCGAGTCCCCATATGGGTACAATGCGTGATGCCCATTTCTGGTGTCCCTAGCCGTGCTATTGCTGGAATATTGCTAAAAGCGGCGAAAAACTCACTCACTAACTCACTCACTCACTCACTCACAAGGCGTTATAATCTCCGGTGATTCACCATCAGCTAAATTTCCTGTAACATCAATGGTTGACGTGTTCTTTGAATATTCTAAAAATACGTTGATGTGACATCACGTTTCCATGCCCACAACGACACTTCTCTGTGTCTACCAGAAACGTTTTTTGAAACTTTAAGGAGGACCTGAATGTTGTGACTCACATCAAACAATTTTAAATTTTTGAGCAAGAGTTGAATGATGTTCTTGTACAAAGAGCGTCGATTGAATATTGTACTTCAATCGTTGTGAAATGTACACGTCAAAGGCTAGAGGTACTACATTATTGCAGCACTAAACTCAGGGCATATCTAGTATTGGCACCCAGGATGACAGTGATCCTGTCACACAAAAGGGAGGCAATTCATACAGGTCACTCGTGTTACTGTCAAATTAGATTCTGAAGTATGTACTAAGTGTTGCCTGCATTGTATTTGCAGTCATTTCTATGGAGACATAAGGAACTGGCGAGTGGTTCTGTCCGAGGACAACCTGGAAGTGGAATCAGGCCGCGAGATGTACAGGAGGATCGCAAGGATTGTCAGTGTGAGTAACATAACCTTAGCCTCTGTCTCAGGTGAGTCTCATAGCATTGGTGTTTGTCATGGATATACACATGTGAATTGTGATGTAAGCAACATTGAGTTACCGGTCAGTACATGTAGATTGTCGGTATGAGTAACATTAAGTTAGCGTTTAAAACGTTTGGCATAATCTAGAACATTTTCTAAAGCATTAAGTTAGCGTCTGTCACGGGTGAGCATGTGCAGAATGTTAGCGTGAGTAACATACGTCTGTCACAGGTAATTATGTGTGTATTGTCAAGATGAGTAAAGTGGATTTATCATCGGTTAAAGATAATTATGCGGAGATTGTCGCTGTGAGTTACCTGTCCTTAGCATTTGTAACAGAGAATTGTATGTGTATGTCAATGTGAGTAACGCGGAGTTAACATCTGTAACAAGTAATTAGATTGTCAGTAACTTGGAGTTATCATCTGTGACAGGTAATTATGGCTGGATTGTTCATGAGTAACGTGGAGTTAACCCCCCCTCGGACGGGTAATTAGGGTAGATTGTCAGTGAGTAACGTGGAGTTAACACCTGTGACTGGTAATTAGGGTAGATTATCAGTGAGTAACGTGGATTTAACATCTGTAACAGGTAATTATGGGTAGTTTGTCTGTAAGAAAGGTGGAGTGGCAGGTAATTATGGGTAGATTGTCAGTGACGTGGAGTTTACATATGTTACAAGTAATTATGTGGAGATTGTTAGTGAGTAACACGGAGTTAACATCTGTAACAGGTAACTATGTGTATATTATTAATGTGAGTAACGTGGAGTTCACATCTGTGACAGGTAATATATGTAGACTGTCTGTGAGTAACGTGAAGTTAACATCTGTGACAGGTAATTGTGGGTAGATTGTCGATAAGTAACGTGGAGTTAACACCTGTGACAGGTAATATATGTAGACTGTCTATGAGTAACGTGAAGTTAACATCTGTGACAGGTAAATAAAGGGTAGACTGTCGATAAGTAACGTGGAGTTCACATCTGTGACGGGTAATTACGGGTAGATTGTCTGTGGGTAACGTGGAGTTAACATCTGTAACAGGTGATTATGTGTATATTATCAATGTGAGTAACGTGGAGTTAACATCTGTGACAGGTAAGCGTGTGTAGATTGTCAGTGTTAGTGACATTGGGTTGTGTAGCAGGTGAGTATGGTGGGACAGAGAGCCTGTTCCAGGACGTCATTAGTAGCATCCACTGTTTTCTAAGAAATACCTAAGAGAACAGACCGTAAAAAGTATATACACTCGAATCTCACTTGATATTACTTAACAAAATCATACCTCCAGCAACACCCATTGTGCTGGGAACCAGATATTAACGGTCAGAGGAGGTGAGGTGAGGTGAAATTGGCTTTAACGTCGTGCTTGGGAATATTTCGCTCATATGACGACGTGCATGCGTGTGTATGTGTATGTGCGGCTGCTTGTACTAGCCCAGACTTAAACTGATTTTATAGTGCTAGCCCACTGAGATACCACGCCGCAGTGAAGCATGAATACCCCACTCAGACACATTATATTGACTCCGAGCCGACCAGTCCTTATTGTACCCATTAATGCCGAGCGCCAGGCAGGGACCAACAAGTACCATATTTTAAAGTCTTTTGGTATGAAGCGGTCGGGGATCGAACCCGGTCAGAGGAGACAATTTTCACGCAATATTACCTGTGACGTCATGTTCATGAATGACGTCTTATTATTGGGTGAAAATTGAAAACAACAATGTTTAATCCTCACATGTGGCCTGCGTCCCGGTAACGTCTGTAAAACATAACAGGTAGATGTGTGGATTTCTGGACACGGTGTTGTTCAACTTGGGATGATTTGATCAAATACTTGTGACTCTGTTTTCATTCTGTTTGTGTAAACCTATAAAGATCCACCTGTCATCGGTGCCCAATTTCGTCGATCGATGCTCATAATGTCAATCACTGGATTGTCGAGACTCGATTATTACAGACGGCAGTCAAATCAATGTCTGGAATATTGCTAAGTGTGGCGTCAAACAACAAACAAACAAACAAACATATAAAAACTCTATTTCTGTAACAATTTGGTTATCTTCAATAGAATATGCTTAATCACATTATCCTACATGATCATTGAAAAACAATGATGACGGCGATGATTATGATGATGATGATGATGATGATGATGATGATGATGATGATGATGATGAATTTGTATGAAGGTGACAAAACCATTTACAGGATCATAAATACATCTGCTCCTCGGAGATTACCCAACACGATTCCAACTATATCATATATTTCTGAATCACTGTCAACAGTGATGACCTCTGTAACAGGTAAGTGTGTGTAGATTGTCAGCAGAACACTGAGGTGACCCAGATCCGGGGTAGAATTGATCTTCGCAAGAGACGACCTACGGGATCGGGTTGTCAGGCTCGGTGACTTGGTTGACACATGTCATCTGTTCCCAATTGCGTAGATCGATGTTCATGCTGTTTGACCACTGGATTGTCTGGTCCAGACTTGATTATTTACAGAACGCCGACATATCGCTGGAATATTGCTGAGTGCGGCGTAAAACTAACCTCATTCACTCACCAGGTGTCCGCTAAAAAGTGAGCGTATTCTACCCAACCGGTGGCACCCGTCACAAAAACATGCACATGGAATTCCAACATGACATACAGTTACAGAAACAACGGTAATCAAGTGAACACACGATTAACCCATCATTATCACCCTGGCGAAATATGTGTTTACTGTTAGACAGAGGCTGAGACATTGTCACGTCAAAGTGTGGACAAACAGAACATAGCTTCATCAAAGGGATCTCATGACGTCGGGAAACAGATCCGAAAACGAGGCTGTACAATGTTAATTGTCGTCTGAATCAATTGCCTTGGAAAGCTATCTCACCTTTCATTGTTCGCGTAATCTCCACCTTTGACTCCTAAAACCCTCCTTTGTCTTCTAATACACGTCTTTGACTTTTGACAGTTGGACATGTTTGTTGATATTATGGTGTTAATTCTCCAAAAAGCTGGAAACACGGGTTCATATATTCGGGAGAGAAGCTGAAAAACTGCCTGGATACGAGCCAAAATCATCCTTTTCTTTCATCTTCGGATTATTCAAATTCTTTGTACGGCTCTAATAAAACGAATCACGCTGAATCTTTGTTATTGACTCACGTGTGTGAAGGGAATTCAAATGTTTGACATGAATAGATGGAGAAGTTAATTTTTTTAATCAATAGCTTCATAGTTTGACCCAAATTTGAACAATAACATGTACATGGGCGCATGGGTTACTCGGTCTTAACTGAACTTCTGTGTTAATACACTGGGATAACGATCGTTAGTCTAAACACAAACAACAGCAAACAGTATGATAAACGATTTGATTTTTTATTGTCTAGCAGCTCGGAGAATCATTTCTTTTGCTGATTCATTGTCCTGGGAGAAGGAGATTGTAACTTGAGTCCCAATTAAATATTGTTTGATCGTGGTACAGAATAACTGCCTTGAACAATATTCTCTGACCAACTGTTTTGTTTGACACCACGGTTGAGTGGGTATTGTTTTACGTCATCTTCCATTCATAACGAAAGTTCTCAACGGAATTGTCCTTACTTTTTTTGGTCGATCTCCTTCCGAGCGTAACTGGACTTTAAATTGCCAATAGACCCACTATTGGCTCCTGGGTGGATCAAGACGTTGACATTGAGATATATCTTGGAGTATACTTCTCATATACCTTAAGGAACATGCAGGAACGAATCGGAGTTTCTGCAATAACAGAATACGATTAACTCAATTGATTCTTGTCTAAAGACTCTTGTTGTCCTTAAACTATTTGAAACCAAATGCAACTCATGTTTCTATTTGCTCTTAGCTTAGGGTATTGGGGCGGTGGGGTAGCCTAGTGGTTAAAGTGTTCGCTCGTCACGCCAAAGACACGGGTTCGATTCCCCACATGGGTACAATGTGTGAGCCCATGTCTGCTGTCCCAGAGTGTGTGTATGATTGTGTTGGTTGAGTGTTGGGGGACATTAAGGATGTCAACTTCTGTCTCTCAGTGTTTCGGAGTATATTCTTACTCAATCAACATGTGAATGGACACGAGGAAGGAGAAAGTTATATATTTCATAATACATATATACATCCATGAAAAGTCCCGCTTTAATGTGTGTCACTTCTGAATACCACTCAAAAAGTCCCCCTTTAATGTGTGTCACTTGTAAATACCACTCAAAATGTCCCCCTTTAATGTGTGTCACTTCTGAATACCACTCAAAAAGTCCCCCTTTAATGTGTGTCACTTCTGAATACCACTCAAAAAGTCCCCCTTTAATGTGTGTCACTTCTGAATACCACTCAAAAAGTCCCCCTTTAATGTGTGTCACTTCTGAATACCACTCAAAAAGTCCCCCTTTAATGTGTGTCACTAATGAATACCACTCAAAAAGTCCCCCTTTAATGTGTGTCACTAATGAATACCACTCAACAAGTCCCCCTTTAATGTGTGTCACTTCTGAATACCACTCAAAAAGTCCCCCTTTAATGTGTGTTACTTCTGAATACCACTCAAAAAGTCCCCCTTAAATGTGTGTCACTAATGAATACCACTCAAAAAGTCCCCCTTAAATGTGTGTCACTTCTGAATACCACTCAAAAAGTCCCCCTTTAATGTGTGTCACTTCTGAATACCACTCAAAAAGTCCGTCCCCTTAAATGTGTGTCACTTCTGAATACCACTCAAAAAGTCCCCCTTTAATGTGCGTCACTTCTGAATACCACACAAACAGTTCAACTAAAGTAAATATGATGATATTAGATAAACATTGGTGTGAGAGCACGAAATGCCCGAGATGTGATCTTATGCTCCTCCCATAGCTCTGATCTTCCAACACTGTAATGTTTCTCCATACTGCCTTAATGTATTATATGTATCTAACAAGATACTAACCGTAAACGCCAGAGGTAAAACGGTATTGATATCCTTGATACAGTTCTCTGTAAATAATGTTCGGGTAATGTTGTAATTTTGTCTGTGGTCTGTATAGTACATACCTTCAATCGGTTTGCAGTTGTATTCGTCTGAAGAATTGGACCCGGATTTTGGGTGCCGCGAGCTGTTGCTTATATCACTGTGCATCCTCTGAGCCTTCTGAAAGATAGTAATAATAAGTATAGTGAAATCGGGCCAATCATTCCCGACGAAAACATGTCCATACACCAGTCATATCATTTTAAAACAATCAGATCTCTGGACAAGGAAACCAATTGTTCATGTGAAGAGGTTTAATAACGATACTTAATAAAGGAAGCGTGATACGGTTACATAATGCAGATGTTTGGTCAAAGTAAAAAGCATCAGGCAATGGTGAAGTAATTATCAAATCGCGTGGTTAACCATCCATTCACAGCCACTGTTTGTGTCAGTCCGCGATATCTTTGTGTCTGCGTGAAAACGTTTCCTTGATGGGCATGTTAGAAGTTGGGGTGATGGGGTGATGAAGATTGGAGATACTTTATTCTGTGAAAGGCGACCTTTCGACATAGATTCTAATGTCGTTGTCAAGCAAGTGATGACAACTTGCTTGACAACGATACTAGAATTATCACTTGCTTGACAACAACATTAGAATCTATGTCGAGACGTCGCCTTTCACAGAATAAAGAAGTTGTATCTCCATAAAAAAAGTATCATCATTCTGTGTTTAGAAAGCCGATTTACGTACAATTGGTCACGGAAGTTTTGCAAGTTCAAAAAGATGTAATTTGGGATTCAAGTCACACATTAATACCGTCAATTCGAAAGATGAAAAAACACGAATAATTCGCAGAAAGACATCCAGACGCTGTCAAATATCGTTCTTCTTTCCACAAAATGGAAAACAAACTAGGCTCGCGCGGTGTACGATATTGCAATTATCACATGTACAAACGGTAGGGAACCTCTTCCGCCGTATCACAGCCAATGGGTGGAGTCCTACATAAGCTCACGGTAGTCTCAACACAACCCTGTACAAACACACCACGCGTATTTATACCCTTGGTGTTCAATGAAGGTGCTGATTCCCTACAACCACTTATATACACCTGCGGATTTAGCGTGGGTTTGAAGCGATACAGATGATCTGGACGTGTCGTGCTTAAACATTTAAAGTTTTATTCAGCATCTTATAGGGGGTTACGTGTTTGTAGAGAGACATTGTCTTGATGGGGATGAAGGCGTTGTCCATCATGATACAAGGATTGGGTTGGAAACAAATAAAAACAATGTTTCAAATTTTGTAAAACTGATCCGAAAAGCTTTTTAAATGGCGAATGATATGGACTGTGGATTATCGGATGTATATCAGTGGCTTGTCAACTGAATCGTTTGTTGCATTCGCCCATTCTATTTGCTGTGATGGCATTGGGATTACCAAGTGGTTAAAGCGTTCGCACGTCTCACCGAAAACCCGGGTTCGATTCCCCACATGGGTACAATGTGTGAAACCCATATCTGGTGTCTACCCATTTCCACCGTGAAATTGCTGGGATATTGATAAAAGCTGCGTAAAAACATACTCACTATTTGCTGGAGGTTGGTTTTTTTTACGTGTTTGTTACATGAACTATGCACTGCAACGAAAGTAGAGGTCCGGGTTTAGATGTTTATTCTGTTTTACCCTTATGGCCAAACTTCAGTTTTAATCCTTCGTTACTATGGCAAGTAAGGAGTTGATGAACTATGGTAGGACCTTCCGGACAACTGGGGAAGAATGTAGTAAATGGCATTAGTGAGTGAGTGAGTTTACTTTAACGCCGCACTCAGCAATATTCCAGCTATATGGCGGCGGTCTGTAAATAATCGAGCCTGGACCAGACAATCCAGTGGTCAACAGCATGAGCATTGATCCACGCAATTGGGAAACGATGACATGTGTCAATCAAGTCAGCGAGCCTGCCACCCGATCCCGTTAGTCGCCTCTTTCGACAAGCATTTTTCTGAAGATCAATTCTAACACGGATCTTCACGGGTGTACATGACAATACAAACAAGATATCAACATCCTTGTCAACAGCTGCTGGTATTATACCGAGTGAGGATGTTTCCTACACTCACATACATGTCATGGAATTATACCGTTGTTATTTAACTGGACACCAGAAATGAGTTTCACACATTGTACCCATGTGGGAACCGAACCCGGGTCTTCGTCATATCACTTTATTAAAATAAGAGTGTCCGAGTACCCTAGGTAGCATAACCCGATCCAACCAGCGTACCCTTTATTAAATACTTGAACAGAATGAGCGATTTTGCCATAGAACGAATATGATATGTGAATTATACAATGCCATTTTGAATGTGGTTAAATGTAACATATGTTATATTTGGGAATACACAAAGTTATGTGGAAGTCGCGGTGGCTGAGCGGGTGAGGCGGCCGACTTTGTTTGCTGGCGATTAGGTGCCTGACTCTGAGGGTGTGGGTTCGAATCCCGCATGGGATTCAACCCAACAAAAGTACAAGAATCAGTACTTTACTAAGGAAGTGTAATCCCAAATATAACGTATGTTACATGATATGTGAAGAAAGAATATGAACGGTACGTTTGGTTCATTATGTCGGTTCAAAGAATTAACAGTTACATGACCAGTCACGTGACAAAACGGGTCCGCGTAGTTTATTCTGGATCCGGGAAGTAAACGGGTTTTTTACCCGACCCGTCCCAGCCCTAGTCTACATGTATACACAGCGCTCAACCATCAAAGTTGTCTCCATCTATGGTTAAACCAACAAATCTGTCTACACCTGCCTTAAAACCAACACAATTGTCTACACCTATCACTGAACAAACTTGGCTCAACAAACTCAGTGTTTCCGATTTTTCGCGAGAAAAAACTTGTTGAACACACTTACAGCAGTAGGTCAGTATGGGTTGTTTGAGTAGGCAGTCGCCCAATACCTCAGCCTCTGTTGTATCAACTCAATTACACTCGGCATGTGGAACTGGTTGATATTTTCTTTGTTAACACCCGGTGTTAAACCAGTGCATGTGTCCTCCAGCGTGTCCTCCGCGTTACCCACATATCTCATTTGCTGCTCCACCACGAGATGTGGCCGGCAGATACAGGCAGTAGGGCTGTGCAATAATACCGGTATATAACGGTATCTCGCGATACGAATATCGCGATATGGTTCAGATTCTTCAATATATTGGTCATCCAGAGTTAGCTCCCTTTGAAGTATCAACAATGGTTTCATATGTGTCATTTTGGAGGAATAAAGTGGCCTATAATGGACCATTTTTTTTATTTGGCCTTATGTTATCAATTTATCATAAAGGCCTAAGGCTTTATATTATTTTATTTATACGTAAACCTCTGGCATACAGCCATACACAATACCGCCATATGTTTGATGTCGCACACAAAGGGCTATTATGAATTTATGATGTAGGAACTTGGGCAGAAACCTTCCGGTCAATATATCAGAAAATGTATTGTAATATCTCTGAAATTATTGCAATACATCGCAATATGAGAATCAGGGCAATATCCAGGCCCTAACAGGCAGTATACAGAGAGGACATACTTGGCGGACTAAGGCCATGCTGTTTCTAGTCACGAGGGGTTATGTATATGTAGTTACTTGGTAGGAAGTGTCACCGTTACAGATCGAATAACCAGTCTCCATTATCCAACAAAACAGGTTATAATAGGCGTAACAGGAAAATGTTGTGAGATTTATACGAACTAATCACCCCAAACCCGTGATGACATCAGATATCAGTTATACATTGGTAGCATGGTAACGGTGTAAGATTCTACATCGAAACGTCGCTCTATGCAATAAACAAGAAGTTGTATTCCATAAGGTTGTATGCTTAACTTTTTGACTCACAAACTTCTATAATACCGATCAAACAAGTATACATTGTTAGCTCCAAGTCTTGGGAACAAGCACAAACATGTCGCCTTATCCGTATTTTAAGATATGCTGAGTATTAGAATATGGCATTGATGGAGTCCTACAATTTAAGCACTACGAATATGTGTCAATCAAAATAAATTTATTTATGATTCATATATTTATACATATGAACCAAAATACCTATGCCGGGAATACGTTATATAAGACTGAAATAAGTAACACTTGATATGCCGTTGTACGTGAAGAAAATACTTCGGTACACTGGAAGGTAAATTACGTATAGATGGTGGGATCTGTGTGTTGTCCAGGACGATGCAGATTTCAGTTGTCCTCTGTTATGTTCTATATGTCTGTGTTTGTGTACTAACGTGTCGTGTTTTTCTGCACAGCACCCCGGTTACATCAGAACCAGCAACTTCCCTAACGATGTCGCCATGTTACAACTGGATGAGCCTGTTGACGTCACTTCCGGCGATGCTCGTGTGGCGTGCCTCCCCACGGACGAGGAACTGTCTCTTCTGGACAACTCCAAGTGCTGGATCAGCGGCTGGGGCGAGACAAGAGGTGAGTCGGTCTGGCAAACCCAGTAATGTTTTAATGAGTGTCAATTGTTTTACTACACATTCAGTTCTATTCCAGCTGAGCCACTGTGCCGAATTTGAGCCCATCAGACCAGTTGTCAGAAGCATTGCCAACACCATCTGAACACATGTGTTATCTCCGTTTACCTTTTCAACCGGCATTGGTAACTGGGATGGTGTGTGTGTGTGTGTGTGTGTGTGTGTGTGTGTGTGTGTGTGTGTGTGTGTGAATTTTGTGTGTGTGTGTGTGTGTGTGTGTGTGTGTGTGTGTGTGTGTGTGTGTGTGTGTGTGTGATGCGCATGCGTGCGTTTGTTGCGGAGTTGAATTATGGGGGAGCACAACATGCTTGATGGCTCTTCCCATTATGAATTTTGTAATGCAAGAGTATGATAACGAAATGTCCTTATGATTAGTCCCATATGATATTTGACGTTGAACTATCATACTATGACGTAATAGTGATACCAGTGAACACAGAATAGTGTCATTCAGATTATTTAGGGTCAGGAGAATACTATGCCTATATGTGTCACAATATACTGGTATTTATTCAGGTTCTGGGGTTGAGGAGAACATTATGCCTATATGTGACACAACATATTATTATTAATCCAGGTTCTGGGGGTCAGGAGAACGCAAAGAACGAGTTGAATGTGGAAATCCTTCCCAACTGGCTGTGTTCGTCCATGTGGAGGCGCGTGGATATACACGTGCTGGACGACCAAGTGTGTGTCGGAAACGGAGAAACTGGAGCCTGTTTCGTAAGTCACGTCGCGTTGTCGTTACTGTCAGCAACGATAATCTAACTGATAAAACAGTCCTGCTAGTGTTACAAATGTTGTATACAGGATTATACTTTCTCTGAAAAGTAATGATTCTAGTATTTTGTTATAAATATTTATTTTTTGGGACAGATTGGGCGGGGTGTGTCAGCACCAGCCTGGATTCGAACCCCCACTCTCAGAGCGTGGCACCTATTTACTCTGCTGTATTAAATACTGTAATCAGTCGTATTACAAACGAATATATCGAAAATATAAAAATATTTCACTGTAGAATTGAAACATAAAATATCCACCATTAAATATATTATGACTCTGTAAATATTGTTCAGTGTTTATGAATGATACCATTTATCTTAGGTGGAGCTTTATCATCTTCATCACTTCTTTGATAAAAATATTTTATTTGCTGCCACTGTCGAAGTAATCGAGTTTTCTTTCAGAATGAACAATGGCTGACAACTGAGCTGCAGAGTGCTAATGTCGCCATTGTTGTAGGCATATACCTAGACCATTGTTTCGTCAGAGATTGGGATAATTCACCAGTGTAAAAGTGGCCAATGTCTTCAGTACTCTTCGCCCTATGTGACGAAAGAAGCGATTACTTGAAAACTGCGATAGTTAACACATGACGTGACATGTCACGACTCTTCAGCTGTGTCTGTTTGTGAAGGAGTCAACGTTGATGATACAGAAGACCTCATGTGTATCAAAACACACGAGCATTAATCAAGCTCCACCCACAATGTTTTATATGATCAGTACGAAAACACTACTTGTTGTTGTGTTTGCTTTGAAAACCAAATTCCGGGTATCAAAAATGTAACTGTAAGGTATTTTCACCTGATTTGTTTGAGTGGCATTCTAGAAATTGGTGGTGTAGAGATGACAAGAATTTATGGATGATCAACTTCTTCATTTTTCACAATGGTGTCGTTTCGGTGTAGATTCTTATACCATTTTCAAGCATATGGGGAATGATGGTATAAACTGGTGTACCACCGCATCATTCCCCCATATGCTTGAAAACGGTATAAGAATCTATACCGAAACGTCGCCATTGTGAAAAATAAAGAAGTTGATCATCCATAAAGTTTTGTCATCTCTATTTTATTCAACTGAAATTGAAATTTTGGTAAATATTTACTGAATGTCAACAATCTATGGTCTACGCTACCAGCCTGATAGTTTGAACCACCACTGGCAGTCATGTCAGTATCTGGTGTAGCCACCCTTTGGATAACCTTTTGCAAGTCACCTCATATTGGCAATCAAGTGTCGGGTTCTCGGCATCGGAATCCCCTGTCATTCCTCATGGATTGTCTGTCAATTCCTGCAGATTTTGGACAGGACCATCTCTAGCTGGTCCCAAAGATGTTCAGGGCTTGTTGTGGGCCATGGTAAAGTTCGCGTTGTTCAGCACATTGCCAATGACGACTCGAGAACGGTTGCCACCCATGAATATCGGATGTCAGCAAGGGGATAGTTCTCAAAATGTGGCACAACAACGGAATCCTGTACTTCCTGTTGATACAGTAAGGTGAGGTGAAATGGAGTTTAACGTCGTACTAATATGGTTGAACGTTCATTTCGCTCATATGACGACGTGCATCCGTGTGTATGTGTGGCTGCTTGTACTAGCCCAGACTTAAGCTGTTTTTTAGTGCTAGATCACTGAGATACCATGCAACAGTTAAGCATGAATACTCCACTCAGACACATTATACTGACTCCGAGCCGACCAGTCCTTGTTGTACCCATTAATGTCGATCGCCAGGCAGGAACCAACAAGTACCATATTTTCACGTCTTTTGGTATGACGTGGCCAGGGATCGAACCCGCGATCTTCCGCTCTCCAGATGGACGCTCTAACCACTACACCACGGAGGCGGTTCAAACAGTAAGGAGATCCAACTTGAAGTCATAAGAAACGCAGCCCCACACCATCACTGAGACACCACCAAAAGGTTCAGCTGCATGGATCATCCCCTGTTGATTTTTCTCATTCCGACCTCCTCTCCATACGAGACAACGGTACAGTGTATACGATAGCGACTTACGTCAGACTACTGAACCCTTCACCGTGTCTTCAAGTTGCGCTTTCTTTCTCCACAACACCAGACGTCCCTGGCTGTGCTTACCAGTGAGGGAGGGGCATCAGATCGGAAGACGCTCCCTCAGACCAGCAGCCTCCTTCTGATGGCACTGGCAGAGAATTGGACTCCCACCCCCACCCCACTGGCGGGCGCAGTATCTCGGCAGGCATGGTGCATGGTATCAGAGACCATATAATAGATTTATGGTCTGTGATGGGATTGCGTCTTGCAAAACGAATTAGAACTCGGTCATCACGCTCATTGGTCTTCCTCGATCTTCCTCGTCACGAACTTCGCTGGTAGCCTCGTGCTTCCTCACAAGTCCACTAACAACCGTGATGTCAATTATGAAACTTGGCACCTGCGCCATGCATGTCAATAATTTGCCATCGTGTATTTTCCGAGAAACCACGTCTTGCCATGTCAAGAAAAGTTAATGTTTAATAATGTCGCCGTTAATACCAGTTGAGAAAACTGAAATGTACGTACTGCAGTTATAATTATGAGATGTATCCTACAATGTGCTTGGCGCCTTCGCTACACGTGAACATGCGACCCGTGGCTTTTGAGATATTGTGTGAAGCATGTGCTTTAGGGTCTGATCGCCTGTTAGGACCAACGTAATAAAAATTGGCCTTGGAATCAGGTGGTGCTTAATTAATGCCCATGTGCATATATGGGACACAGTGTCCGGGTACACGTCAATCGCAGCTCCCAGTAACATTTAAAGATCACAACCAAAATATATGCTCGTGTGTTAATATTTATGACAAACTATGTCGTAATATGCTCATTTCCAATCAATATTTGAGAAAGCGTGGCTTTAAAGAGTTAGTTATGAGCGAAACGTAACAATATATTGTTGTAATGATAAAAAACAGAGACGGTTCCTAGCGTTCCTTCCATAAACATGTAGTACTGCTCTACGTCATACCATATAGTAACGTTTATGACAATAGTTTATTATCGCCGCTTTTGCCTGTGGAATTAAATCTAACTAGATGTATTTGTTAATTCAGTATAATATATATAGAGGCGACAGTTAAGGTAAGTATGTAAGAAAGGCAAATACATGTTAATTACTGACAAATGTGACGTTCCTGCCTTAGGTTTCTCAGCTTTCGGGTAGGCTACTAATGTTTGGTAATCTTGAGTTTTGTTTTAAATAATGGGAGCTAACTCTTTGACTGGTTCCTCTTCAGGGTGATTCTGGTGGCCCACTGATGTGCGAGATCGGCGGTAGATACCACGTGACAGGGGTGATGTCATGGCTCATCAACAACTGCTCTGCGCGGGGTTTCCCTAATGTATTCACACGGGTGACCAGCTACCTTGACTGGATATACGAGAAGCTTGAGTACTACGACTGGTGGAGATACAACTAGTGTTTTCATAATAGGCGAGAAGTTTCATCGTAGACATGATTGTGATGTGAATGGGCATATACGCTGTGAAACATTTTAATGTCGAGTTTATCATGTTCCGAACCTATCCGAGTGATGTACGCTCTCACGGACTAAACCGGAAACACTCAATTCTACCGGGACTTGCTTCTTGGATACCTCGGATTTTATACGACTTCGCCGATGTATTCTGAATGAAGCCTTCAGTGTGTGTGATCCTACTTTCAGACTTACCGTTCCTGTAAGGTTCCTGCAATCACGTAATGACGTTCTCAGAATGCAGATTTCTAGAGCAATATTTTATTTCCAATTTTTTATATGCGTTATTAGTTGTCACGGGCAAGTATTCGCTCAATGGGCCAGTTTTTTTATACTGTCAGTTGCCACAATAAAGTGAACTAGATGTGGACGATTTAGCTGTCTTGGGAGGTTGAGTACAAGCCAGTTAGGTTGACTGTAAGATTACCTAATTAGGAACTCATTACATCAACTGTCTGATAAGGCTTTAAGTGTAATTATTACTATATAAGGGATATTTTAAAACACCAGTTAGTCTAATATGAATATAAATGTAACGATTATCTATTGGACTCGTAACAAATGCAAAATAACAGACAAACAATCGGATATCAAATTTACAGTTCACTATTAATCTATATAAATAAATCTATGCATAGATCCAGATCCCATGACATCAACTTGCGAAAAACTCATCTCGTGTTCCATGGAAACTCTTTGGGCATCTGACGTCCATAAACTGAAAAGTAGACCAAAAATATTCTATCAGGCATTTTTGTAACATGTTATATTTGGGATTACACTTTCTTGGTAATACATGTTACATTTGACAATTTATGAAATAGCATTGCGTATTCATATCAGGCATTTCGTCTCCTAAATCATATAAAACTTGTACCGAATTTAAGTTATATTCTGAACGAGGCCTTGCTCCGATAATGAACACGTAGCACCCCAGTCAAGATGAACTGACCATCTCGTATCTTTACCGAATTTGTAGTTTAACGCCGCAATATTTTAACCATACGTAAACAAATGATTGATATTCTGAACATTTCTTCACATCACCCGGAGACAGAACAAACCTCCTGGGTAACGATCCACAAAACGTCCGTAGCGCTACGACATTCGTAAGCCTATGATAAACTATAGAGTTACGACAGGTCGTAACGTTACGAACGCTTTGTGGATCGGGACCTTATTGTTTAGCAGCTATGATCTGCTCCATGTGACATCCGTAAGCCTAAACTATAGAGTTACGACAGGTCGTAACTTTACGAACGCTTTGTGGATCGGGACCTAGTTCCATTTATTAACATTAAAAGACTGGCATACGTTGGTGGGAACCTATTTTAACCCAGACTCTCACGGCTCCATCTCGTCGAAAATTCATTTTATATATTTGTAAAACAATTAAACATGATTCCGAGGTCAGCTGATAACTTTGTTACGGTCCTAGCGCATAGTTTACTGAGGAGGATTGTCCCTGTTTGCCTCCACCATCAGTCACCAATGATCTCGCTGTACATCCCTAGCTGCTCAGTGTCTATAGTGTAAATACGGTGTTGTACATAGCTTCAGAGTGTATATACAACATCTATATTTATATAAAGTATTGCCCATATATGCAAGAACTACGACGGTGTAAGAACTCCAGAGAATGGCATTGCGATAGCTTTGCGGTAGTTTCAAATGAAAATCATATAAACAATCATTCTGCCAGTCATGGGGGGAATGGGAGGGGCATATTTCATCGTAACCATTCCAGTTATAACACTTGATGGTGTATTTAGGACATGATGGAATTAACGTGAACGTAACTCCGTCAATATATATGCCAAATTGAAACGACTATCAACTGTAGTGTTGTTTGTACAATTGTATATAAGATGAACTATATTATAATCAAATTGTGATTTTGTAAATCTTTTTATATTTCTATATGATGTTATGATATACTGATTTGTAAAGATTTCTAAAGGTGTGTAATAAAATATATAAGTGAAATAAATCTGTGGTTGGTTGTTCTTTATGTCATGAATGTGGCCGTGATCGTATTTGTCAGGATCAGGTGCTGCTTGAATACAAGTGTACAATCTCGTGGGAGGCAACCCCCAGGTAAACAGGTCATTTACTGCTTCAGTGAAATGGTTACGTTGCTGACCAACCATCGTAATTGAGACGAAGCCGAAATTCGAACCCCTGAACCAGCGTACTCTGGCATTGCTAAGAATGCAGTTTAAAACAGCGACTTATGGCCCAATTGGACACTTATGCCCACGTGTTACAATTTGCTTTATGCTGACTGGCTGGCTGAGTATGGTTTTACGCCGTTTTTAGCAATATTCCAGCAATATCACGGCGGGGGACACCAGAGATGGGCTTCACACAATGTACCCATGTGGGGAGTTTAACCCAGGCCTTCGGCGTGACGAGCGAACGCTTTAACCGTTAGGCTACCCCACCGCCCCATTTTTGCTTTATGCAATGTAGTCCCAAGTGATAAAAGTGCTATGGGATAATAAGCAACAACACAAGCACTCAAACAGAGTGAGTGAGTTTAGTTTTACGCCGCCTTTAACAATATTCCAGCAATATCACGACGGGGGACACCAGGAATGGGTTTCACATATTGTACCCATGTGGGGAATCGAACCCGGGCCTTCGGCGTGACGAGCGATCACTTTAACCACTAGGCTACCCCACCGCCCCCATTCAACAGATGGGACGCAGAATTGACGTCACAGTGGAATACAAGAACGTAATCAAACAATAAATGCTTCTTTTGTCCACAACAGGTGGATAAATGAAAACGATATAAACGTGATATGAACTTCGGGGCAAAAGAAAGTAAATTGACTTGAAAATAGTTTTTGACCCCCAAATTACAAACGCTATCAAAATTTAGCTCGGCTTAAAACAGACACAGAAACTTTGCAAATTTAAGGTCCGAAGCAAATGTACGATACCAGCATCAAGTATATAGTTCCTTTTCTTGTTTGGGTCATTTTCAGCCGCCATGAGTCAAGGTTGTATGCTCTCTATAGGAGATGATAAGTACGGCGTAAAACTAAGCTTAACGACTCTATAGGAGAATTACCTAAGGGTAAAATATGACAAGGTTAAGATGACATCAATTAAAGCAGGCTTGTGAGGGGTGTCAAACGTAAGTTTGCAGTTTATGAAAAAGGCCCGTCCGACCGCCCGAGACGGGTTAGATTTCAGACGGACGGTCTAGATTTACAGCTAGCTAGCCCGATGGTGTGGTAAAAATTTACATGTTGTATACATCTGAGTCATATCTTGATGTCTGGTCTGGTTAAATCCATTTTGGACTGGTAACATTTTGAAGTTAGCAGCCCAGATGTCTGGCTGTGGTTTGGGCTTATTTCATACACTGAAGTTTGACGCCTATTGAAACTGAATACGACAGCGTGATGTTTCGAATTTGAAAAGAAATGAAGCGAAACCTCTTCATTGACAACACTTCGGGTATGTCTCCATTCAAAATCACTGACAAGAACCTTTCGGTTATAGCGGAAATGAGAACCTTGATAGGGAACAGTGTAGATCGGTTTAATCTGCACATATGTTTGCTTTCTGTGCCTAAACCACACGTTTCATCATAATACTTGAACTACTCCAGCGAGACACAATACACTCACGTAAGTATCATTTAGTCAAACCGGCATACCTAGCGAATGATGAAGTCATTTGTAAAGTAAACATCACCATTACAAGGGCCCACTGTTGGTATGCGCTTCACGTTACGCGATATGAGACAGGCGCCCAGTCAGGTTTTGTCCGATGTGGACCAAGTACGAAGTAGCCTCAAAAGTCATGACGTATTGATGTTACTGGATTTTACAGAACACCCACTTAGTATTTGTTCGTTTTACGCCTGAAACGTATTGTTTCACATGTTGTAAATAATGTTGGAACACCAATATTAAATAATCAACATCAGCAGGTGGATGTGGCAACGATAAGTTATCAGCAGTATTAGGGTGGAACAATGATTCCATACCTCTGGAGGGGCGGTGGGGTAGCCTAGTGGTTAAAGCTTTCGCTCGTCACGCCGAAGACCCGGGATCGATTCCCCACATGGGTACATTGTGTGAAGCCCATTTCTGGTGTCCCCCGCCGTGATGTTGCTGGAATATTGCTAAAAGCGGCGTAAAACCAAACTCAGTCAGTCAGTCAGCCATACCTCTGCACGACCAGTTATAATGCACGATTCTTAAAAAGTCCTGGTAGTATGAAAAACACGAATGTGATAGAGACTGGATCGTACAGTAAAATGTTATGATTATGGGAAAGAGTATCGCCTTTAATGTGAAGGGGGCGGCGGGGTAGCCTAGTGGTTAAAGCGTTCGCTCGTCACGCCGAAGGCCCGGGTTTGGTTCCATCCCATGCTGGAATATTGCTAAAAGTGGCGTAAAACTAAACTCCTCTAATGTGAAGGCAGCATGACTTAATATTGTAAGGTGAATAACAACAGCAACATTAATTGCAATTAATAACAATTTATGATTTTAAATATCACCTTTTAAGCCTCCAAACTGCGACACAAACAGCTACACTGCACTACTGTCAAACGTACAACTTAAAAAGACGTAACAGAATAAACAACTCTTGCTTAGGCAGACATTAGAAGGACAAGAGTTGCATAGGCGGATCCGCGAAAGGTGGGTGGGGTGTGTGCAGGGGTGCGCAACCCCATTTTGTCCTGAAAGATTATATTAAACGGCCATTGAGACTCTCGTGAAAATGAAGTGTGCCCCCTACACCCACCCCCCACCTTTCTCGAAAAGCTGTATCCGAGTCGTTACACAGACTGACAGATATACAGAGCGTCGTACAGACCAACAGACTACAGCAAATCGTTTTCAGTTTGAGCGATTTTGTAATGCTGTAATGGGTCCACAGATTATGTTTCAATAAGTATTTCAATACGTATGGAT